TCCACAAGAAATTTGTAGAAATAGATAGAACGTTAAAGGAGATGTCGGGGTTGGCCTATCTTAGAGAGGGTGGATCGTGGCTTGGTCGAGCGTCAGATGGTGTGTGTAGGCTTCGAGTGGAGTAGTGTCGGTGCCTCGACTATTTAAAATGAACTTACGCAATTTGATATTGTTTAGATAATTAGACACTTTATTATAAATACTGCAGCACTTTTAAATTCTTAGATTAGTACAACGTCTGTGCTCGGGCTTCTTCGTAAGCTTTCTTCTGGTTTTGGCTGGCGTCTAGTTATACGCCTGTGGTTGCTGTGTCAGCGGCGATCGTGTTTTGGCGATCGTGGGTTGACCTGGTTTCTGTTTCTTAGCGTTTTGGCGACCTGGCGGGTTTGTCGTTGGGCGTATGTCGTAAGTTTCCGCGGTGTCATCTTTACATCGTATACATCGGACTTAAGCACTTTATAGCTTCAGCTTGCCGTCCGGAAATTATTAAGCTGTCAAAGTCAAAATTGATAATTTGTTGTGGTATACTTACAAAAATTTTAAATTTAAAACTCGGGAAGAGTCGAGTAAAATATCAATGCATAAACGGTTAATGCCGCTGGTTATGAATTAGTGGAATGTATAATTTTTAATAGGCTTAATCAAATATATTTTGGGATATATATAATATATATATGAACAGCGGGGGTTGATTTGCGGCGGTACAGCGATATGCGGGCGGTTGGTTGTGTGTCTAATTTTCTACAAACTTCAACTTCACAAAAGAAATCGAGCAAAAGGGAATTGAAAGATCATGCGATGGTCCAATGCAAAACGGTTCACATCGATGTATTCTTGTGCAGCTGCGGGCTTTAGCTATACGTGTGAGAACTTTACATCTATGTTTTGGGCACAAGCAATAACAACACAGCTATGCGCGTAAAAATAGTTTCTTAATACAACTATGAGCATATTAATAGGGAAGTTGTAATATAAATGAACATGAGCGGCTAATTTTACAAAAGCCGCACTTTGCCGTTAAATTCCGTTTCTCGAAATACGACCGGTTTTTTTAAACAAAAAATACCACAATTTGTTTATGAACAGAAATAGTAATTATGAGCGGGAACGTTGAGAGCTGCACTTTGTCGCTTTTATACCCGGTACTCAGTTAGTATTTAAATGACCCATTCAATTTATTTATTACGTAACGCCCGTAGGCGTTACGACGCTGTTAAAAGTGACATAGCACCCACCGGGTTTTATGTCACTTTTTTGAGGGCGTTTTAAAACTATAAGATCCCAAAAATGGTGTATGGGGACATCGGGGGGAGCTGGAGCCGTTACTGGGGATATAAGGAATAGAATAGGATTAGGTATATGTATTAGTAAGGGAAAAGGGGATAAATAGGAGTGAAAATATTAGAAAACGTGGATTGGATTATGGAAATCGTGGAGCGTGGACGGAAGAGTAACGTCGAAATTTAAAATTTTGTGCTTAAAACAGAATGTTTGAAGTGAGTACGGAAAAAGGCGGGCGTGCAAATAGGTTGTAATGCAGGAAATTTTACTCACAGCCGGCAAGGAATACAGCCACCAGAACCGGGCCAGAAGGTTTCCTGAAGAGAAACACTGGAGTTCGAGAAAGTCGACGGCAGAGAAGAAGACTGTCCAACGTGAACCTGAGTGAGTTCGTTCCAGTTGCGCGTGTGTGAGCCAAGAAGCGCGGGACGTGTGAAGGGGGGAGGGTGAAAGAGGGCGATTCTAGCCACATCGCACGATCGTTGCATCGCCTTCCAGTGCGTGCCACACGGTTGGTCTCATTCGCCACGTAAAAACCCCTATTTACACACACACACGCGCACACGTATACACGGACCTATATAAATTTAGGGCTGACCGGCCACGGCCAGCGATCGCCCACGTCGTTTGAACTTAAAAAAAAACATAATCTGCACTCCAAACACCTTTCCACATTAAATGTTATTTTGTTCCGTGTGTTGTCCTTTATATGGTATTTAGTATTAGCTTAAACCATTTAACGTAACATCTTGGCCATTGAAAAAAATATGTAAAAACACCAACACCTTTCACGAACCTAAATGTGCGATCAGCTGTTCAGTTCCAGAAGATTAACCCTTAGTGGGTGACGCGGGGGTCCCGTCAGTACACCGTATTTGGTCGATCGATTTGTGGAAAAATATTGTTTATTGTTTATGTCCCGGGGATCCTTAACAAGAGCTCTTGGTAGGTTAAGTCTCCGTAGGGGCCCGAGTTAAATTAACTCCCGTAAAACTGGATCCACTCATCTACACATACTCCATTACGTAGGGGTGAGGGTATCCCTGTTGGTTGAACGAAATTTCAGCAGTCATTTCCGTGTTTGCCTTTGTGTCGAACGTTTTGGTGTTTCTTTTTGGTTAGTGATAATTTGGAGTATATCTATTTATTTATGAGAAAGATGAAATTGTCAATTTATAATTATAAAAGCTTGGATATATACTGAAGTATGATGCAGTAAATTAAAATAGAGGGAGGACGCGTGGCGTAAGCCATGGATTAGGCCAGCCGTTACCGTTCCAGCAGATGGTGGCCAAAATGAACGTTGTGTTTGGTCACCGGTAGGGCGGGCGCGCGAAGTGATAACACCCAAGCTTCACCCACTTGATAGCCGTCTGTTTATGATTTTCTTTGTCTTTAGGTTGTTGTTAGTTTTGATGTCCTGAGAAGTAGTATGTCTCCATCTTTGTCTACATTTGGCGGGCAAGGGGAACTACCGAGCCCTGGGGTCGACAGCTAGCCGGCATTGCCCTCTGGGAAACAAGCCAAGTGTAACAAAAATCGCTGTCTTTTTTTCGGATAAAGGAAAGCCATACTGACTATGTATCGGGTATGAATGTAAAGTTGCCGTCGCAGTAGCAACTCACAACGTTTCCCCTCGTTATACCCGATACTCAAAATGAGTATTGGGATATATTATATTTGAGGCAAAAATGGATGTGTGTAACGTCCAGAAGGAATCGTTTCCGACCCCATAAAGTATATATATGTACTGACTGAGCCCTGTCTGTCTGTCCGTCCGTTCGTCTGTCCGTCCCTATTAGCGCCTAGTGCTCAAAGACTATAAGAGCTAGAGCAACGATGTTTTGGATCCAGACTTCTGTGATATGTCACTGCTACAAAAATATTTCAAAACTTTGCCCCGCCCACTTCCGCCTTCACAAAGAGCGAAAATCTGTGGCATCCACAATTTCGACGATACGAGAAAACTAAAAACGCAGAATCGTATAATATGACTATATCTTCTAGAGTGCAAAATCTGAACCAGATCGTATAATTATTATAGCCAGAATCAAGAAAACAATTTCATTTTTTCTCGCTCTGTCTCTCTCTAAAAACCAAAAACGCAGAATCGTAGAGAATGACCATATCTTTTTGAATTGAATCGTATTATTATTATAGCCAGCATCAAGAAAACAATTTCATTTTTTTTTTCGCCCTGTCTCTCTCTAACACACACGTAGCATAGCCGGCTTTGCTTAGAGTAAAACATTAGCGCCTAGATCTCAGAGACTATAAAAGCTAGAGCAACCAAATTTGGTATCCACACTCCTAATATATCGGACTATATTTCGCCACACCCCCTTCCGCCCCCGCAAAGGACGAAAATCTGTTGCATCCACAATATTGAGAATACGAGAAAGCTAAAAACGCAGAATCATTCATAATAACCATATCTATCAGATTTCTGAATGTGGATCAGATCGGATCATTTTTATACCCAAAAGGAACAAATCAATTTGCAGTGGCTACGCAGCGCCCGACGTCACGCTCAGACTGATTTTCTGTCTCTCTCGCTTTGTCGTGTCGTTTAATATTAGCGGCGTCTGCCGGAGGAAAGCCATACTGACTAAGTATCGAGTATAAATGTAGAGTTGCGGTATCCGCAGCAACTCACAATATTATTAAATTTAAAGCTAATATAAAATATTAACTTAAAAAACGATTCGAGCATAATCTATATTCAAGAAATGCTGAGGGCTTTTTATCTTTAAAGAGTTATTTTCTTATCCTTGAACATTTTGTACAAATATCTAAAACTGAGAGAGTTTCACCGCAGGAACAACGTTGTGCGGTTTTGCCGGTTAACAGGTGTTCATTAGTCAATTTTGTGTGACCGATACGTAGGCGGATGCATATGGTCCATTTTGATTTTGTACATTTTGCTGGATAGATCGTGGGTGAACCACTCTGGCAAAAACATCCTGTATCGGTGGAGGAATTGGTTCCAATGTTCACAGTGTCTTTGGTTTGAGATCTGGGTGATGAGCCTGGGAGTATGTACGAATTACGGCAATCATTTTATTGTGGCAGCTTACATTTTTGACAGATTCTATAGTGGAGAGGCTATCTAAATTTGGATTTGCGCTCCATCCGAATACCGGAAATCCGTTGTCGATTTTGACAAGGATATGAGCTCTTGTGATAACTATATTAACATGGATATTTGAAAATTTAGAGCTCTAGATTGTAATAGTAATCTTAATTGTATGAAGTTAAATTTATTATCGAAAACAATTCCACGAATATTCAAGTGGTCTACAGATTGAATTGTCGAGTTTTGAAAACTAAGATCTTTGTTTCTCGTCGTGCAGCGATGTTTTCTGCAAATATGCAGTATTGCACGGACAGACGGACGGACAGGCAGACATGGCGCGGCTATTGATGCTGATCAAAAATAGATATACTTTATGAGGTCGGAAACGTTTCCTTCTGGGAGTTACATACATCCACTTCCACCACAAAAATAATATACCCCTATATTCTTCGAGTATAGGGTATAAAAAGATTTATATTTTTTTGATTCGGAGTCCCAAGTGTATCAGAAAAAGTAAGGATTGTTTTTATAGTGCATTGAGTAATGAATATTCCTTAGGGAATAACTTTTTTGTTGGTGCTTAGGCAGCAATTTTTAACATTTTAGCTAATTCTTCAATGTTAACATTTTTTTTTCGACACAGGAATGTTCAATGCGGCACGTTACAATGTAAGGATGGTGAAAGACAACCTGTTAACGATGGTATCGACCAACTCTACTCACGGACCATTATATCTATCAAGGGACAGGAGTACGAGTGCAAGTGCGTAGCAAATAAAGTGACCAGGTATGGCAGGTATGGCTAGAATAAAATCCTTTAACGTATTTTTTTTTTATTTTCAGGGCAACCAGCGGACAAGTAGGCTCCAACAACTACCCTGAACATGGTCTAGTCAAAGATGGAACACCGTGCGGTGATAATTTAATCTGCCTGAACCAAACTTGTGTCAGTCTCTTTCCTCATGTGGATCAAACTAAGTGCCCAACAAATAAACAGGGTCAAGAGTGCTCAGAACACGGCGTAAGTTAAACCAAAGAAAAGTGCGGATTTTGCTCACTTACTCTTATATAGATACACATTAACTTATTTATGGTGTTTCACAAGTATACCACTAGCAAATCATTTTGACGACCACACTTGGCATTTGTTTTTGCAGGTCTGTACTAACACAAATCGCTGCTTTTGCGACATGGGTTGGGGTGGCACAGACTGTAGTTCTGTCGTTCTCCTTACCACAGCACTGCCAACTGAAGCATTGCCAACACCGGAGAATACAATAAAAATGGAAAAGAAAGAAACCCCATATGGTAAGAGAAGGGCGTAGAGGTCAACGGCACTTTACCTCAACGTATTTGCGTTACCTTGCGCCAGCTGGGAGAGACTTGAACTAACTAAGCTTGATTGAATTTATCCAATCCTATGCAAACAGTACCAAAAAAAAAATATATATATATATATATATATATATATACTAAGCCATCCATCTATACAAAGCCGATTTAGTGTAGCCAAACCAAATCACACTTGCGGGTCAATCACGTTGACAAATCCTAATTAATGTGACTACAATTCGATATCAAATTTGGTTTGATTACTTGTATGACAATGGTAATCATGCCGCTTAATAGACTTAGCGTTTTGTATAAGAAACTCTATGAACATCGATTTATTTATATAGATTGAAAAATACAAATAGGCATAGTCAAACGTCCACCGACGAAACCCAATAACAGCAGAGAAATTGAAGCCAGATAACAACCTTTTTAATCATATAAATCTTAAGTCTTTGTTTTTTTTATTAATTAACATTAAAAAATGTCCAAGGCTCTGAAATCCGAAAACTTTCATCTCATATCGATTCCCTTTCCATATTTATCATATCCACTTTATATTCAGGCAGGCTCCGGTCTTCACTTACTTTTGCATTTTGTGTTTTCAGCCAAAACGTTCCGTTTCCGTTTTTAGGTGGTCCCGTTTTCACAAATTTTGTCTCCGATATGTTCTATTTTATTATCGTTTCTGACAAAAAAAAAAAAACAGCTTACTTGGTTGATTCGTAAATATTTGGCGTGATAAAAATGTCTTTTTTCGATTGGATGTTTTAACGACGGCTTAAAGCAAGCGATTTGAAATGAGACGTCTGAGATGCAACACCTGCTAATAGTCAAGCTCTCTGATTTGGAAACCATTTCGGACCGACAAACATATTGCCAAAATGAATTTGGAGAAAGTTCCATCCCATCTGGACATTACCTCAAAGATAATTTCCTACACTTAAATTTATAAGTTCAAATTACATGAGGCGGGAAACAAATGTCTTTACTTAGCTATTTTTTTAGTATCTTACGAGAACTATCTGAGCTGTTAGGCGCACCTTTGTACTGTTTTTTTTTTTTTTTTTTGCCAATTTATGCCAATCGATGTGTTTTTTCCAACTGTCCAATGCAAAATGTAGTTGCCCTGTTTGCTCTGTTCTTGCTCAAGCAAAGACTGATTTTTTCACTTCTCTTTTTTTTACTGGGAATTTTATCGCGAGCTAACGAAAAAAGTTTCTTTTACATATGCATGCATGCTTTCGTGATGCCTAAGGCAACGATCATTTGCCTATGTGAATGAAAAACGTTGCCATAAACTATTGCTAACTATTTGTTAGTGGTTAATATATTGTTAAATTTATACATATGTATATGTGTAAACAGTACTGTACATGTTTAATGTTTGAAATCGTTTTTTCAGATATTATTGGGGCAAAATGGTTGGTGCTGCCCATCTCCTGAAACTTTTTCTGTGAGCGTTTGATCAAAAGTGTCTCTTTAAGTTTTTATTGTGAGACACGATCGTGTGTCGGCTCAACCGAAAACATAAAACAGATAAAACAAGCGAAGAGACAAAAAGTGTTCTGTCAGAGAGCGTGTGTGCGTGGTCTTTTTCTATTTTGTTGACCGTTCTTTGCGAGCTTTGTTGTTAATACATCAATAAGTCATATATTTTTTGCTTTTGCAATTAAGATTCGTTTTGTTGATACCAAAGTCGAATACCTCTCATTTCAGTTATAGAAATGTTTCCGTTTTGAAAGCGGAAAAATTTTACGTTTTACGAAAATGGGAGTACCAATTTTTGCGTTTTCCAAAGTTCATCCGAAAATGTTTAGTGAAGTGGAAAGCGGAGCCTGCCTAATTGTGTAAAAATAAGTAAATCTGAAGTAATTGATGTTTAGTCGGCACGTCGACTATAGCATCTTCATTATACTCATTTATCTTTAAGTACCTGGTACTTGTAGAAACTAAACTCAAGGAAACGAAATCTACAGGCTCGCACAAATTAGAAAGTGTAAAGTTCGAAAAATAGAATACGTTTGATTTTCCGTAAGCGAAAGATACAAATAATCGTTATATAATCATTTAACTAAAAAAATCAATTTGTCGATTTCTTACGATGAGGCCTACCTAAAATGTACAAGTACACGCATTTTTTATCAATGAATGAACAGTGTGTGATAATTAAATAATTTTTTGTGTTCATATACATATTTGTAGATTCTCTGTACCATCCCAGCAAACCAAACGCTCGTCAATAATATCGCACACGAGTGATTATGCGAGACTTAACCCGATCCAACTCTCGCAATCTTTCGGGTATTCGAAAAGATAGGAATATTATTCATATGTCGTTCAGTTTGTGGCCGTGAGTGCTCCGGTTACGACAGTCGCAAAAAATAGTGATCGCTATATTTTTGCGAGCCTTTTTATATCATTTGCAAGCTCGTTTGTGAGTGCTTAGCGATACAAAAATTTTTCATTAATTTTTTTCACACTCGTTTGCGAGTATATTGCAAAGGGCTCGGGCGTTGATCCGCTGGAATATCAATATTTAACATAGTCAGGTAGTATCTGGTTTTCACTTACTTTTGCTTTTTTGGCAAAAACATTCCGTTTTCGTTTTTAAGTGCTCCCGTGTTTTTCTCACATTTTCTAATCTCCTAAAGAAAAAGTTGGGTAAAAAACGATTACACTGGTCAACACGCACAATGATTCAAAGATCGGACAAGAATATTCTCATACTATTTCCACTACTGAAGACGAATCTGACCTCCAAAAGTCCACCCTGCTTTTGCGCTTTTTCGATCAAGTTTGGAGAATACTGCCGAGGTACTAAAAGTGTCTAATTACAATTCCCTCTTAAAGTAAATCTTGAACTGTCAATCAAATGAATCATATTGAAAAAGCCTTGAATCAATCCAAAATTTGCAAGTAGAAGTTTTGTTTAATGTGCGCGCGTAATCTACTTGCACTCATAGAGCGGTACACAATAGCGCACACATGAAAAAGTTGCGATACAATTTGTTGCCCAAATATATATATATAAGATAATGTATATACGATTTTTGGTGAAAATGGATGTGTGTCAATAGCCGAGTCAATAGAGCCATGTCTGTCTGTCTGTCCGTTTGTCTGACCGTCTGTCCGATCCTAGAAGCGCATATTGCTTAGAGACTATAAGAGCTAGAGCAACGACATTTTGTATCCAGAATTCTGTGCTATGTCACTGTTACAAGCGTAATTCAAAACTTCGCCACGCCCACTTCCGCCCCCAGATCCGATCTGATCCAGATTCGGCAATCTGGTAGATATGGTCATTCTCTATGATTGAGCGTTCTTAATTTTCTCGTATCTTCAAAATTGTGGATTCCAAAGATTTTCGTCCTTTGTGGGGTCGTAAAGAAGCGGGCCGAAATTTAGAAATACACTTGTAACAGTGACATTTTACAGAAGTCTGGATACAAAAAGTCACTGCTCTAGAAAATAGAAAATTAAAAAAGTTGAAAATCTTATGGACAAGGAAGTTAAACTTATGGAAAATTTACTTTTTATTTTCACTTTTAAAATTCTTATTCTTACAAAACATTGGTTAAAATATACAATTGAGATGAAAGAGTGATAAAACTACTGAGTAATACTGGTGTGTCACAGAAAACTCTAGATTTGATAAGTCCTCCATAAAATCCGTAGGTTACACAGGATCTTATTTCGAAATTTTCGGACACCTTTTTCGGCGCTCACGCATAACAATGAGAATTGTAGCACAGAGTTGTAGTATCTAAAAAATAATTTTGTGAAATGTTGGTCTTTGTTTATTTTATTCTATAGGTTTTCATTAGCAATTAAAGAAAGATATCTTTTTATAGTAACTCAAAAGTGCAATCCTTAAAATGAACTTAGGCTCAGGCCATTGTAATATATTTTTCAGAAATGTTATTTTTATTTATTTAGTTAACCTCAGTGTCGGTAACCATGCTCGTGCTGGAAGAGCTCCATACGCTGGAGCACCAACTCCTTACACCATTTTATACGCCGATTCCCCAACCATTTGCTGGACGTAGGGGTCTCAGCCTGTAGATTGAACTTCCAATTTGTTCTTGGCCGGCTTCTTGCGAATGTTTGTCTTCCAGCCTGACCAAGCCTGAAATTATCGAATTTATTATAATAATGTGTTTCTATTTCTGTGCAACATATACCTTTTTCCAAGCCAATGATTGGCCAAACCAACCGATTGGCAGCCCAACAGCATTGAGAGCGCCGCAAATCTCTGCCCACTTGGCATCGAAAATAGCTCGGTCGCCCTTCACGAAACCTCTTGCCAAGTCTGGGTTTTCCTTCATGAAATCCACCAGAATTTCATCGTGCTGAGATTATTTAAGAACTAAGCGACAGTTTTAAAATCAAAAAATTGATTTGTTACACTTATGTATGTGCATTTTGCGGTCCGAATTAAATGTGGCGGGAATCAGTTGTCTTTACCCTGTTATGTTACGCACACAATTTAGTATGTTACGAGCACAAACTGAGCTGTTACATGCAATTTAGGCTGTTAGGCAAACAAAAATTTTAAACTTTCCGAAAACCCAATATGATTGTGACAGCTGGGACGAAAACGTAAAGTGTTGTTGCTCTGTAGATACATTTTTTTTCTTTTTGTAATTAAGATTCGTTTTTTTTATATAAAAACCCGTTTACTTACGGAAAAATGTTAGGAAAGTAAAAACCGGAGCCAGCCTGACTATAAAAAAAATGCGAATTGATTTGCTAGCCAGAGAATTTCTAAGAAATGTGTAAAGAAACAGTGCAGCAGTATTTTTAAGCAGATCAGATCGGTTGTCCACTGCTGACCAAACGTTGGACCGGCAGTACCTTCATTAATTTCACACCTTACTTCCACGGCTTACTTTTTAGTGCTGTAATCTTATTTTATTTTTTTGTCATTGATTTAACACCATTAAAAGTAAACAATCAAACGAACTAAAAACTTCGAAAAAAATTAAATTGTTAGAAAAAATAGGTGGCCAATTTTTAGCTTGAGCTGGTTTCATACAACGACATCGAATGGGAATTTATTTATATAAAGGATTAAAGGGATTAAAAAATTTGAAGTCTTAAACTATGCTGATACAGATAAACTAGATATTCAATAACATTTCTATAACTGTAACGCTTTATAAAAGTGAAATGTGTTTTATCAGTGTGTTTAACGAAATCTCTAGTAGCGCTACTACAGTTGATCTAAAGCGTCAATTCAGTTTAATTCGGTTGGCTTGGCATCTGTATCACGCCCGATAATGTCGGTCTACTCGACTAGCAACATATGTATGTATAATCCATAGAAACGTTAATCGGATTTCAGAAACTTTCGAATTTCATTGTATTAACGAATCAAATGCTTAATTGGGGTTCAAAATTTCTGCATATTAACAAATTTAATTTAATTGCCAAATAAAACGCAACCCCCATTTGCAGGAACCTCAGACCAAAATAGGATCAGCACATTAACCATGGTCATCATTTTAACAGTTATCGTCAAATGTGTCTTCATTAGTTTTGCAACACTGGCCGTTTGTTACAGGTAGAGTACCAGAAAGTCAAACACACATACAAATTCAGACAAAAAAAATCATGGTTAAGGCAAGAGCGTGACCCAAATGTACATACAATAGACAAATTTCAGTATTTAAGTTAATTTTTAAATACTTATTTAAAAAAGTACAAAAAGGTTACTCTGGTTTCTTTCTTCTTCATTGTCCCTTTGTCTTTATCGATGTGTAAAATATTTGTTGTGCTTACATCATTATATAACAAAGCTACTTATTTGTATGTACTTGTCCTAAATCATTCCATTATAAAATTATGTATGTGTATTTATGTACATGCCTTGTATCATATTGTCGTAATCACAAACCACTAAGTTTATGTGAGTTTTAATTTTATTAGTTACGTTTTTTGTTTTCATATTTTGGGTTTTATAAGGTAATACATATGAATGTATAAATGCATGAACTTTAAGCATATAAAGACAAGGAATTACTGCGGGTCTACAATATGGACATGGCTATATCGATTCATCTGCCTTTATCTAATATATGTACATTAGTCCATAGAGTTGTATTCCGTATGTTTATCTGTATTTTAAGGAATCTGTTCAATTAGTGTTTGGCTAATGTTGATTAAGTGCATTAATTTGCAAAAACATCTAGGCACGAAACTGCAATACTGTAAACATGTTTTTCCTGTAAGGTTTTCCAACACAATTAATTATAAACAACTTTGCTCATATTGCGTTCATGTTACTAAGATAAAAGACACGTCAATAGTACAGACCTCCAATAGTTTGACCAGCTCCTTAACTCACCGAATATTGGAGAACAGTAAGATGGCATTGAATAACAAACAGTTTTGAGAATGGAGGAGATGGATAAAATATTGCATTAGAGCTGGGCATAGACTGGGCCGGGCTTCGTGGTCCCCGTGCTTTTCAGAAAATGTATACGACCATATTGCGTTATGGAATTAATATAATTGCACGAGGTGTTTAATACATTTTTTCCGAATTTTTGTTAGAGCAGGCATTATTTTATTGTTTCAGAGTGTGAATTTATCTTTTTTTTTGCTACTGAGCTGGAGGCAGATCAATTACAAATATTAACTAAAGCAAATATTTCTATCTATTTCTATTTCTACTTCTTTCATTTAATGATTTTCATGGCCTTTGTTGGTTTTCAATTGAGATAGCATATGCCAACACAATCTTATTAGATCCTCTTCACGTAAGGCTATCTCTTTCAGGTTGGAGAGGTAGTGTAGGTAGTAGGTTATTTTTTTTAGTAAATAGAATTGAAATAGAAAAATATAAACGATTAAATCATTTCTGGGATTGCTGCTGATCCTTATGGACTTCCAGCTATTCCTGAACAATCTCTTAAAGATTGTCTGGTTTGGTCCGCTTCGGTACCATGTACGCAAAAATAATACTACAAATCATCTAAATTCTCCGGCCATATATCGATTAGTAGGTTCTCCATTTCAGCAGACAACATATTGTTTTTCTAATGGCTGCAGAATTCACAATACTCATATCGAAATAATAAAAACAAAGAAATCCCTTAAGTTTAACACCTCCGTTTTCTGCTCCTTCAATTCCAAGAAACGGAATCGCTGCTTTCACAAACCCAAATAATAGATTATATCGATGTTCACTACGATTTGGTAGCAGCCTTCCATAAATAAGATGTCGTCCTACTTAAACATTTGAAGAAGATCCGCAACTTTGGCTTTTATCAAAAAGTACTTCTTTTTCATGTTCATAATTTTATTGTCCGATTTTTTTTTTTGGCAAAAAGATGTTTTTCTATTTGCTATAAAAAACTGATTGTTAATTGCGGCATTATAGCCCGAATTCTGAACGGAGTTAATTTGACTTACTTCAACATTTCGTGATTTCGTAGTCAACTTTTGTTTGTGTCAAATCCATGAAAATATGTTTATATACATTACAAGTTTAATTTTCAAAGGTCTCAGGGTCTAAAAATGTTCATTTTTTATAAAACAATAAAATATAAAGTTTCAGCCTGATTCGGCCTGAAAGTTCAAAAATCCGATATTTGGTCAATGGTTCCTATGGCAGCTATAGTATAGCTCTGATCGGATTGATTTTTGTTTGTGATTTAGAACCTTAAAATATAATCCAGCCCCCAAAATTTCAGCCCAATTGGTTAACATTTAAGCCAACAATAAATAGTTAACATTAAACTTCTCATACAAATGTGAAAATTACACATGCAGTGTATTAAAATATCGAATTCCCGCTCTCGCCTTATATTCTCATCAAAATGCTTACGATACTTATTCCAACAATGGAAAAATCGGTGAATCGATTTATTCCCTCCAAAATTTTTGTGCGAGAAAGCCAAAAAAGAATTAGTAAATATGGCGAAATTGCGTTCTAGTGATAAAGCTATTTTGTTGGGTCACGACTCTCCTCAAATTTTGGGAACTAAGTTACCGTCAACATCACAACGTTATCACAACGGGCCGAAACCGGCCTAAGTGTGACGGGTTCCGAGCGAGCCCGGCAGCCGCCTCAACCTAATCTAACCTAACCTACCGTCAATAAAGCAAGTACTCTGTGTATTTTTCTACAATCACAGCAAAGTTCGTTTGACAATAAAAAAATGTCTTTTGGGAAAAGGCGCGAGTTCCTGTGCGTCAAGAATATCACTGTGTGGCTAAGCTACAACACTTATATAGCGAATGGAAAAATCTTAGAAAAAAAACAAGAATAAAACTATATACTCTTTCAGAGCTAAGGAAGCTGCTTTTGGCGCTAAGTTTGACAATTGGTTCGATATTGCACACGCAGATGCCATGTCGATGATGAAAATTGAAGAGGACAAGACATTTCTTGAACTGCAGCGCCAGACCCAAAGATCAGGGCATTTAGCTGGACTAGACACCATCTCGGTAAAAAAAAATCAACGAAAATGTGAACGCCAACTAACGGATCAAGTCCGAAAGCAAAAAGAGAGTGCGCGAATTGCTACTGAGATCGTATTTTATAATTTTTTTACGTAAACCATCAATATCTTCAGGACGTCTAACATATTCTGGAAGTGAATGCGAATCCAGCGATTATTCGATGCATAATCATCTGGACATGGAAATATCGGATAACGAAACTGAACCGCCTCCAGCGAAAAGAGGCAGGAAAAATTGGTTTACCCAAAGAGTTTTATCATGTTTAGATAAGTGGAGGATCACTAAAAATGCAGCCATGTATTTGATATCCACTATAGCTGAAGCTTTAGGCCACAAAATCAGTGAATATGCTATGAATAGGAGAACAAGGTTAGGTTAGGTTAGGTAGAGACGGCCGCCAAGCTCGCTCGGAGCCCAGCACACATAGGCCGGTTTCGGCCCGTTGTGATACCGTTTGGGATCATTCCCTCCCTGCAGATGAGACTTCATGTCAACAGTTGTCCCATCCAGATGCCCTTATAAAGTTGACGATCTTTCTGGGACATAGCGTGGACATCTCCGAGATGTCGTTCAGAAAGGCAGAGCCCAAGTGATGCAGCCTCCTTCTGCTGAGAGCTGGACAGGAACAGAACAGGTGTTCCACTGTTTCCTCCTCGTCCTCGTCTCTGCAGCTGCGGCAGAAATCATTGTATGGGGCACCCAGCCTGTTTGCGTGGGTGCCTACTAGCCAGTGTCCTGTGAGGGAACGTATGACTGCGCTGCACCTTTCCCTGCCTAGTTTGCAGAGCTCTGAGGTGCGCTTCTTATCTATGGTCGGCAATGTTTGCCGAGCTGTGCGACAACGTGGCCCTGTTTGCCACTTGTTGTCTATCAGTAGCGTGTACTGCTCTTTTATGATGAGCTTGCAGGTGGCCATAGGCATACAAATATCCTCCTTATCTTGGAGAAGGGGGGTTGTAGTGCCAGATCTGGCCAGCTCGTCCGCTATGCAGTTGCCCTCGATATCCCGGTGACCCGGGACCCATATAAGGCTGATAGCAAATTGCTGAGCCATCTCGTGAAGAGATCTGCGGCACTTCGCCACAGTAGCCGAGTTCGAGGAGATCGCGTTAAGTGATCTGATCGCAGCTTGGCTGTCGCTGTAGATGTTTAGATTGGTTGCCGTGGTGGTAACCGTATGAAGGCAGTACAGAGCCTCCCTGATTGCTGTAACTTCCGCTTGGAAGACGCTACAGTGATCCGGAAGCCTGAAAGATTGCCTTATGTTAAGTTGTTCAGAGTAGATTCCTCCTCCAACCCTGCCGTCCAGTTTTAAGCCATCCGTGAAGATGCTTATGGCCCCGTCTGGGCCGGGGGGTCCCTCGAGCCAATCGTCTCTATGAGGGATGATTATGCTGAATGGAGTCTCCGTGTGCTCCATTGGAACTTGATAGTCCGTTCTTGCTGGGACCTTGTTGTTTTTGTTTAGTATAGATGAGTGACCTATGTTCTGGGGTACCCATTGTTCAGAGTCCCTAAGACGTATTGCTGCCATTTCTGCCCGCTCCTTTCCTGCAAAGTCAAGGCTCTGAAGGCATAACATGGCGTTTAGCGCATCATTTGGTGTAGTTCGAAGAGCTCCACTGATGCAGAGGGCGGCTGTTCGCTGAACCTTGCCCAGCTGATTGGTTATTGTCCTTTTCGCTAGGGCAGGCCACCAGACAGTAACTCCGTAGAGTATTATAGGTCTGACTATTGCCAGATATATCCATCGGACTATGCTTGGGTTCATGCCCCACTTTAGGCCGATAGCTTTTTTGCAAGTATAGAGTGCTGTCGTTGCCTTCCTCACTCTATCCTTGACATTCAGGTTCCAGCTAAGCTTTTTGTCAATTACCAACCCTAAGTAACTGGCACTGTCGCTGAAGGAGAGCCTGTATCCGTTTAGTGTTGGGGGGTTGAGGGGCGGGACCTTGTATTTTTTTGTGAATAACACGAGTTCCGTTTTCGAGGGATTTAGTCCCAATCCGCGCGATTCTGTCCATTGGGACAATCGAGCAAGCTTTGCAGTCATTAGGTCGCATAGTGTTTGGGGATATTTCCCCGAAAAGATAA